TATATATATGTTAGTAGTGTGATTTTTCTTTAAACAAATATATTTTACCTTGCCCTAATTAGTATGCTTTTAAATATCTATGGTGGTTCTGTGGCCAGACATGAATGAGCATGTTAGTGACATTGTCATTTTCCCTGGAGCCTGCTTTTCCTTGTTTAGATGCTTACAGATTTCCTGTGCTCAGGAGACTATTTCTGTCCTTAATGATTCCTCTCTGGGAAACTAGATCTGGCTTTCTTGTCCATTGACGCAATTCAGAAAGAAAGCAAACAAGTAGTTAACTTACTAACACAGAGTTTAGCTTCAGCAGTTTATAACAATTAAATTTTTGTTTATAACAATTAAAAATGTTGTGTACTTGAATACCTATAACTGATTTATATTATGGACAAAAATTCTGATTTTACATTTTAAAGAGCACAACATTTAAATCGTTTAAGTATGTTCTTCTTAGCTGTAATTACAAAGAAATATTTTATGATAGTAGTCCTTAGATCTATTTTAAGAACAATACATTAAAAATATATATAAGGCCATACTTTCAGAAATTATAAGAAAGTGGGAGAAAGGAGATATTAGCAGGAGGAGCTGAAACTTTCTTTTGTCTAACCTATATGGCCTTACCTACTTAAAAATATGAGGTATGTTTTGTAAAAATACGTTATTTCTTCAAAAACTTCATTTTGATTTATAGACTTCCAGCTATCTGAATATACTTAGAGCTATATAGAGGTCTATATTGGTATCCCTCTTTATCCAAACTCTTGTTCTCTAAATTCATGAACCATATAGATCAAGTTTCATTCTATTTTATTTTATATTTTTGCACTGAGATAAAGAAAAAAGCTTGTATTGGAACTCAGAAATAGATTTTAATAGTGAGAGAAACACTATATCAAGATGCTAATAATGCTTATTGCTGGTGTTATTTCTTTATACTTCTATATTTTCCATATATTTGACATAAATTATGTATGCATAAACTTTTTAAATCAGGAAACAGAAGAAATGATATTTTTACAATAGGCCAAAATATCCTCCCCAAATGTATATGAGACTGTTAAACAAATGCATAAGTAATGAGAAATTCTCTTGTGAGCATAGTGGATCTGGAAGAAGAACCCTGCTATCATTTTACTCCCCAAATTCCAAGTTAGCACACCGGTCCTGGGTGCAGCTCAAACCTTGATACAAAGGGCCCACATTTGTATTGGAAGAGCCCACATTTGTATTCATTTAAAATAAAGGTATTGTATAAACATTTTGGCTCAAAGACTTTAAAAAGATCTTCCCAAATGATGTCATTCTGAAGATTCCTTGACAAGATGGTGTCAGTACAGCATGCCAGAAACCAAAATCTTCACATAAGAGCGAGATGTTTTGGCCTTTCAGTAAGAATATAAAATTTTCAGATTTCATAGAGACACGTATACAATATTAAGTTGTTCTCATTGGCATTCTAGATCTGATTTGTTCCACAATACAAGTAGGTTTTTCATATTAAGGATCCTCCTGGGGTTCCGATAGTAACACACGTTGATGTAAGAATCATTTTATAGTTCTCATTCATGAGTTCTGAAAGAAGTCTAAATTTCTTGATTTCTAAAAAAGTATCATTATTAAGTAAGAATTCATTGTTTTCTATCTACATTTTAAGAAATATTACCATCCCTTGCATTTCTAAATGTATTAAAATGAGATTACTTCACAGACTTATGACTAAAAGTAGATGTTGCCAAAATTGAAATCAAAAAGCCTAAGAATAAAAAAAGGGAGAAGCATTGTTTGTTTAAAATACATCTTCATCTTGGCACTGTAATTACAAGCCTCAGAATAAAGAAGACTTGGCAAGCACAGATCAAACAACTCATAATAGTATCTCATTTACACAAGTTTTAATTGTATACTCCTTCTCACTTATACACAAACATATTGTATTAGTAAATCTTTAGATTAAGCGACTTATACTTTTTTTACTTATGGATGAATTTCCATGACGAAAGTAGAGAGCATTTGACAGACGAGGTGTAGATGACCCCAGTTGTGTTAGTGATTTGCTCCTCAGCCTTAGACAGGTTTTATATCTAAATTTACCAATCTGTGAAAAGGCTATAATAATAACCCTGTAAAAATTAGCATTAATGCGCTGTGCATAACATGATTAGAATCTACTCTGTCTTATAAACATTTTGTCAACAATTTATACAAAGCCATTTCCTGTTGCTGAGTCAGGTTCATTAACATCCATGTATAGTCTTATTTCCTAGATCAAAATGATTTTAAATTATCTGAGTGGGTAAGAGGTATTTCAAATTGAAATGAAGAATATAAAAATTATATTGTTATATTCTACTTTGGAATAAGCAAACTATATGCAGTTATATCTTTTCCAATATTTTATTATAAACATTTTAAATGTACAGAGTTGTTAAATAACTTTAAACATGAATAGTCATATACCCACCACCTAGAGTCTATAATTAACATCTACAATTTTTGTAGCATTATGTGAAAAAAAAATTAGTATTTAAATATTGCTAATGGCTCAGAGCTATACTCAATTCACACAAACACAGGTTATCAAAAATTTACATTTCTTATGTGATATAGTCAATTGGCAATTCAAACTTTTAAAATATTTACATCTTTTTAAAAGGCATCAAATATGTGGTGACAGAAAGAAATCTAACTATGGGCAGTGAACACACAGTGGAATATATATATGCCTTACTGTTGAATTATATACCTGAAATTTACTGGATTTCATTAACCGATGTCACCTTAAAAAAAAAAAAAAAACGGAATTCTGAGGGAAAAAAATAAATAAGAAAAATAAAATTAATAAATAATTGTGATACCACACAACCTGTTTTCATGCCTGCCTCCCTCCATATACATCTAAGCAACTCCTTATATTCATGAGAACATATTGGGGGCTATATACCATATTCAAGCAAATTCAGGTAGTCAACATTGTACAAGTAGTGCCTAATAACATGCAAGAGAGAACCTCTCACTTCTCTGGGTGACATTATTCCTTTAACATATCTTCCATTGAGTACTTACCATGGTCATTGTTCTAGTTGCTACAAATGACAGTCTTCTAAAGTTTGTCCAAAGCCAGATAAGCCTGCAAAATGCTATACTGCACAAAGGTAAGCAAATTTCTTTATCGTAGGACCGACTTCTTACAATTAATGATATGTGAACGTGCACTATGGCCTACTAAGGTTAATAAAGGGTTTCTCACACTTATTTAACCATTCCACCATTTTAATAAAAAATAAATATTAATGTCTAACAGTACAGAGTTGGGAAATGGCACCACATGTTTAAATAAAATTAATGGTAACAGTTTGATTAAAACTAACTGGAACACAACTGTAGCCAGAATATATTGAGAGATAAATTAATTGATAAGGACTGGGTCAGAAGTATCTTTAAGGTTTTGCTACTCACAAAGTGGTCCCTTGCTCTTGGGATACACAGGTAATCAAGTGACCTCAGGACTTTTACTAGGAATTAGTAAAAAAGCCGTTACTGCCAACAGCTGACCATACAGATGCTCCTGAAGAGTTCTGCTGGTTCAGAGGCAGCCCAGGGGGTGTTAAAATTGTTGGATGAGGATGGAGATTCATCTATATTTTAATATTATACTGACAGACACATACCTCTTTTTCTTCCTTTCTTTTTCTTTTTTCAGGGAGCACAGATTAATAACAAAAAACTACTTTTAGAAATAAAAATAATAACTGCCAAATGTTGGTCATTTATTATGTGCCAGAAACTTTACACTAAAGACTTGATATACATTATCTTATATAGTAAGTACAACAATCCTGAAAAGTAGAGAGTATGTCCTCATTTTATGGATGAAGGAATTAAGGGTGAGAGAGTTTGGATAACATATTCACCCAAAACCATGGCCAATAGAGGTGAATGAAGCCAGAGAACTCCAGCCCTGGCCTGATACCTAAGCCATGCTGATAACCACTAATTTATATTAAAGTGAGAGGAATAGGGATGTTAACAGTGGGATGTAAGTAACTTTTCATTTCCCAGAGAGACAGAAAATTAAGTTTCTCTCACTTTTTTTCTGCCATATATAG